ATTCCACGAACTAAAAATCTACTGAAAAAATAAATGAAGGTTAATATGTCTTGATTGAGCACGTCGTATAATATATACATTTTTTTTATTTCTTTATGACATTTACAACTGTATTACATAAATACATCAAGTAAATTTGGACATAATTGATATAATGACATGAATACACTTGCTGAGTAACTACCCAATGGTAGCACTCTAATGATAAGACTATATTAGGAGATCACGGGGCCATCTTCTTTTCAGACGCCTCGGAGGGTTATCAGGAATCGAAGAGGAAGCATGGTTAGAAACGAGAGGGTTGGGATGATTCTGAAGTTTATTATGGAAGGATAGGTATCTGGATTGGGCCAGATCTGAAACATAAGGAACATTAAGATCTTTATGGATAATTTTATTAGTGACAAAGTAAGGAGCATTGAGGATTTTACGAAGGATTTTGGATTGTAAGGATTGGATGCGAGAGGAATTCGATGGTTTAGTGGAGCCCCATAGCTCAACTCAGTAAGTCCAAATAGGTCTTATTATAGTCAAGTATATGAGTCCTTTGTAATTAATGGGAAGTTTAGAGCGTTTGTCTAGTAAGTGCTGAAGTAATCGGAAACGTCGAGCGGTTTCTTGTCGTTTCAGTCTAGTATGAGGATTCCAAGTTAGTCGTTTGTCCAGGTGGAGTCCTAGGTATCGGATTTGCTCAACAGGGATAAGTGGAGTATTTTTAAAGGAAACTGTAGGACTATAGATATAATATAGAAAGAAATGTTGATATTTTTAATAAATAAAAAAAAATGTTTAAAACAACACGCTAGAAGTGAAAACAACAAAGCAGGATTAACAATATGAAATTAAAAATATCATTATGTTATCATTTGGTTTTCCACACTATTTCTCGGCGTCGGGTTCAAATACAGTTTTGAATTATAGCTGATTAGAAAGAGGATGAATTGCTAAAAATTTCACTTGCTTACATTATGCGGCTTCAATTTTTACTTTCTGAGATATTTTAATGTATATGTTTAACATGGTGTAGCGTCAGGATACAGTTTTGAATAATAGCTCGTTACAAAGAAGATGAGATACTGAACATTTATTTTGCTTACAGTATGCAGGAATGATTTTTAGTTTCTTAGATATTTTAATCAAAATGCAAAAACAATTCAATTCGTAGACTCGAAGCGAATTTACATAAATGAGCGTTACATATCCGAGTGTGACGCCTCAGTTTCATTACTACTCACAAAAAATGTGCAAAGCGCCCCTAAAGAAGTACAATAATCCTCTTAGTAAGTGAGATAATAAACCCAGGTTCTTCTGCACTTAAAAATAGTTGTTGAACAAGTATGATTAGTATGCGTTCAAGAAAAAGTTGTCTTGTGGCTGAAGTTCTGAACTGAAGAGATATTTTCCAGTAGGATAAGATAATCAATTATTAAGTAAGTTATTATTTTGTTGTAGTAGCATAGTATGAAGCTTCAGCAATCGTGTGTGGAATATATTATCTTGAAGATATTATATTTTACATAGAAATAATCATGTTTAGCTGATGTCACTTAAACGTCAAATACTTATGAAAAGCAATTACTATCTATTGTAATATAAGAGTTCTCACTGTAGTGAATGAAAGAATAATCTTTGAAAACATCGATACGTATTTACTATCTATGGTACAGAATAACTAGATATGTATTCCTCTCCTATCACTCTCCTTCCTGTTTTGAAGCTCGGTTCTCAGGTTGCTGTACAGACTACATTTCATATTTGCATATCCATTACGCTTACATAGTACTGGGTTTAGATAAGAGCGATTTATTTCATAATCGCTAAATGATTCATATAATTACCCTTGATACTCATTTTCGCAATAATTGATTGGTAGCTGAAAACACTTACAATAATTCTGAGAAAGATTCGAAAGAAGGCTCAGGTGTTATTCGGTCAAGGTAAGGCCTATGACTGGAAACTGATACTAAGCAAGGCCACAGAGAATAAACACCAATTAGCTTCTAATCGATTTGTCCTATTTATTATTGCTTTGAGAGCCGGTTTATCAAAATATCGCTTTCGAGTTAATATTATTAATCAGTATCCAGGAGATAAACATATCTGTGTTTTCTTATTGATGAAAGTCAGGTAGTTTAAATTACGTATATGGATAGAGCTTATGACTATATAAATATATAAAAGGTGAATAGAATGAGATGTTTGATAACAAAGATATACAAAAGGTAGATTCTCTTCAGAACGGCTAAAATAAGACGGTAGTAAAATCGGTGGTATCGTATAGAGCAGTAACAATGACCACAGAGTTTTACTGTCACAGAGAGACTCTTGAAAATATTGGACAATATGATAAAGAGTATCCATGGGCCAAGGAAAACGGAAGAAGGGTACTGACCGAAAAAGAACAAGGATCAGTAAGAAGATATTAAAGACATAGAAACATCAATGAGGAAAAGAAGGTATTTTTACAGTCAGATGAAGAGGATAGAACAGGATAGATTGAAAAAGTAGAACATTGACCTTGTAGTAAAACTTAAGAAAATCAAAAGATATAAAAATCCAATTAAAGAAGTAATGAAGAAACTAATGATCAGAGAAGAAAACTACCAAGACAGAGAGAAGTTTAGAAAGAAGGTTTTTGGGTGGAGAAAAAAAGAAGGAGGTGGTCAGAGGAGCAAACAAAGAAGATGAGGAAGTTGTGAGGAAAATGAAAAGCTGTAATGCAATATATATATATATATATATATATATATATATAACTTTTTTTTCCGGTTGGCGATGTAGTTCATGCAGGTGTTTGCTCGCGAGATGTGGTCTTCTTACGAAAAGTATATTTTAGAGGGAACGCAGACAGCCTGGAGGGAGTCACCCAACCTCACATTGCTACGAACCATGATCTACATGGTACAGCGTCTGGGGCCATTCAGACAGCAGTGTTATTCCCACTGACTCACTCGGGATCAAGGATAGCGACAAATCGCTCAAGATTCCTGGATTATGGCTGTTATCGTGGCTAGAGGCACACGAGGTCCTATATATTTTTTCCCTGAAACAGACCGCCTAAGGAACAAACCTCTGGATGCTACTGACATCCTGGAAAACATCACTATTCCCGATTTAAGTACGCAGGGTAAGACTCATCACTACCACCCCCATTCGGTGTGAGTTGATGGGCCTCACATACCCTGACAAACGAGAATATCGGGAAGCGTTTTTTTCCTTGATCGATGGTCACTAAATCCGTACGTTCAACCATCCCAATACTAACCACATTCGACATTGAATATATTTGATTATCTATTGCAAGCTTAGTCTGCTTGGCTATTTCGGTTCCTGGTTTTATGTGTGTTTCAAAGCATGAATGTTTATCGCCTCAAGACAAGTTATCAATATTTTTTTAATGAAACGTTTTCAAGAATAATTTACTGTTGTTTGATACTACGAATAACAAATGGGAATGGCTATAGCTTATTGTATTTAAATGAAAATAATTTCTCACGGTTCATGATTGGCATTGTTAACATTCATTAATTAAAATTCTTTAATTGTATACTTATCCTGTTTACATGAATTAACTCTGAAACTCAGTATTAGATCCTAGATGCAATACATATCGAATAAGAAAATTTATTGGACGTCTGGAGCAGGTGTGGGGATATTTTATCATTTAAGCCATTTACAACATAGTAACAAAAGTTGTGTATTATTGGTGAATGGAACTGTGAGCCATTTTCTTTTAGTCTGTTTCTACCGAGTAACTGGGAGGAAGAAATTACTAGATTGTAGATTAAATTAGTAGATATTTATTATACATGAGATAAATTTGTTATGGATATGAGATTTAATTGCAGGAATGTCCATGTAGTAAATGCATGATGTTATTTTGGAATTACTTGTTTGTAATTCGTTTGAGCATACATATTTATTAGATACACAGACATAGAAATTGTACCACTAAAACTCATTTTTATAAATTTTATGATTTTTAGTAACTTCTTTCTTTTAAACTTTTTTTTTTTTTGTTACATATACTAGTTTAAGTGGCTTAAAGGAAAATATTTCATTATAATCGTAACAGCCGTTATGGCGCTTCAATTAATAGAAAACATGTTTTCGGTCGCCATTTTGAAACTGAACGGCGGACGGTAATTTCGATTAGGAAATTAGGAGTCCTCGGATGCCTTCTGAATAAAATAAGCCAATTAATATTAAGTAAAAACCGGCGACGGCGAAGGGTGGTTAACGTTTTTCATTGTTGATCAATTACAATGGCTGGTTGTTGAAAATAATAATATTAATAAAAATAAAAATTACAAATTTTTGAATAATTATTATCATAGATGATATTTTTTTTCTTATCAGCAATTTTATTTTTCATTTATTACAGTATAAGTACATGATATATAAATGATGAAACATGAAAGAGTCATAGGTGACAGTAATGCCAATGATGATATGACCACACGATTGAATGAACACGAGTGACCAAAGATGAATGAACACGAGTGCCCAAAGATGAATGAACACGAGGCAAATTTTTTTTTTTTAAATTATCAGTAGTTGAGGACGGATATCTCGGAAACTTACCGAGGTAGCGAAAAAAAGATATATCATCAAACATATTGCAAATTCTATCAGCTTTAATTTTGTATAGAAGGTATTTGTCAATGCGATGGATAATTTTTCTGTTATAAGCGAAACTCGAAAAAAGAGACCTTCAAGGCGCCCCACCCCTCATCTGGCTCATCGTTTTGAAGTGAGGACTTTTACTATTTTTACCTCCTTACTAGTCTAAACCATGTCCCAAAGTCAAAAATTTTGTGTCAGTACCATTTCCTTCTAAAATCATTCATTCACTGGACTAATATGAAAAAAAAAAATGTTTTTTTCTAGAAATTTTGGACACATTATTTGCAAGAAATTCTGTTTGAAAAGTCACCAATCCAATGAGAATGACCAATTTTGCAAATTTGGAATAACAATGTATAAATAGGACAACTTACCCCTGTTGGCGACCAGGACACTCCTGATGGGCTTGTATTCGACCTTCTTCTTGGGTTCTGCTTGGCTGGTCTTGCACCTGACCATGGACCAAAGGATCTGCCTGCACTTCATCCTGTCCTTGAGCTGGTAGCATCGGCGTGTCGTTCCCAGCATCGACATCTTGAACTTCGATTACTGAAAAAAAAAAACATGTAATATTAATAAGCAAGTAAGTAAAGTCATACTATTGCCATTTAATTATTTCAGAAATCACACAATCTAAATTATAAAGTGTATCTGGGCAACTAAAATAAATGAATACCAAAAATATTCTAAATAGTCCAAAGACGTTTTGCTTAATTCTTTCCTAGCTCTCAAAAAATTGATTCAACAGAGATATTAAATCATGAAAGAAGCAACGAAAAACGCAATTTTAAATACCTTCGGAGAAATACTTGTCCTCCGATTTATACAGAAAACAACCACACGCTATCCAGGACTTATCTTTGACAGATGGATGACTCATAATTAAAGTACCTTGGTACGTGGCTAACAAAACCCTATACATTGATTTCCATCTGCCAACAGTTCATCAACACGCAAGGACTCTTCAAGAACGATTTCATAAAAACTTAAACGAACATACTAATAAGAGGCATGGCTTCAACTGACATATCAATCGATACGAGGAGGAGACTAAAAAGACGCTGTATGAGAGACCTCTTTCCCTAATAAACATGGTAATTAAATCTAGTCAGTGAAGAGGTACTGCTGGGAGCTATCCTTCCCCAATATCTGATAAGTCAGTTCTATTATTTTCATCAGACAATCTGTAGATTGAGTTCGTCGGCAGGTGCATAGTAATTTTTGAAGATAGAAAAATAATAATAACAAAAGAAGAGTATAACAATTAACCTATTTATTAGTACGTATATATTAATAATCGGTTGTCTAAAATTTTAAAAAATACAGAACACTGATGAATCAAGAATAATATGATATGCATAATTTAAGCAACCAACTGAGGATGCTGGAAAACCAATGGGATTCCACTTCTATATATTATCCATTTCTACCCATTCTCATTCTGTATTATCCTAAAACTTGTTGAGTGGGTAATTATTGTTCACTTAGTTGTATATTGTAATGAATATTAATTTCAATAATTCAATAATTATCAATAAGTAATGTATTTTTACTAAAATGAAATCCTTACTAAGAACAGAAATAAAGAAAATGAGCATACTATACAGGCCGAGAAGGGTGAAGGAAGAATACCGATTGAGAAAGAAGAATGAAAATTTAAAATCATCGACGAGGAAAAGGAGATTAAAGTTCTTCGGTATGGGACTGAAGAACACAAAAGGTTATTTGGAACAAATAAGAGAAAATGTAGAAAAAATGAATATCAAAGAAGAAAAAGATAGGGACAAAATCGGGAAAATAATGAAAAGCATAAAGGTTCTTGTGGTAGAGAAGAAGAAGCAGGAAACTAAGAAATGGACAGAGGAAAAAAGTAGGAAAATGAGAGAAAACATGAGAAAAATCTAGAAATAATATACGCTTGGTCCAATCTCGCTGGCCTGTATTGCAATAAATAACTAAATATATATATATATATATTAACATTATTCTTAAATTGTCGGCGTGTCCTCTGGCCTGAGGCTTCAATGCTCTACTTTAAAACATTGAAGAGCTGACCCATTGTTACCAAAAAAATCGGGGATCAAACCGTGAAATAAACAAAAGGATCAATAATTAATTTGTAATTTATCGAATTATAATTTAGTGACCAAATTCCCAATTTAAATAATTATGTTAATATATATATATATATATATATATATATATATATATATATATATATATATATATATGAAAAATTTACTGTACCGTGTTATATATTTCTATCCATACATATGATAAATTAGAGACTTAGCATTTAAACATGATAAGTGGTCGCTAAAGTTCTAAGAGGAACGTTTTATATCCACGCTCCCGAGACAAATTAATACTAAATGATGACTCCCATAGGGACGCCCGGCTTCACCTGAATTAGGAATTAATGTGTGGGTAATTACCAGCTCTATTAGAATTATAATGCTCTAACAAAAATACACAAGATGAAAAACAATATTGGCAATTGGAATTGTTTTGTATGTACACACCTGTTCGATGCAGCAGCACACAAATGTTTACTAAGCTGCGGTGGATCGATTAATAATCAAAGCTACACACGACGATAAGCGGGACCTGCTCAAGTGGTATATGGTCATCATGATGATTCATAATCAAATTTTTTTGTAGACAGAAAGAATATCGATTTCGATATTCTAGAGTATTAGATATAAAAAGTAAATAAGCTTAACTTCCTCAAAATTTTCGTTGGTTATGTAAGAAAGTACGCCTATATATGTTTCTTTTTTTTTTCTATTGGCGCTACAGATCATGAAGATCTTTGGCCGCGAGATGTGTTCTCCTTACAGAGGGATGTTGCTTGCGGGAGCACAGATAGCCTAAAATGGCAAGACCAAGACCAAGCCCTCCTAACTGTTGCAAGACCAAAACCAAGAGTGGTAAAAAAAACGATTTTTCGGAATAACAATTAAGATAAAATAGTTACTAATACTTAACAATTTTAATTACTGTATGCGAAGGAATTGGTATAACCAACATAATTTTACATTTAACTCTTCTACTTTTCCATTCAGAGTTAGGTAGGTTTCTTCTATTTAGATTTCTTCTTAAAAAATATAAAAAAATACAGTAATATATCTATAGTTAGCTAATAGGTAAATGCAAGACTGTTGCTAGACTTTTGGGCAAGACTAAGACCAAGGCCAAGACTGAGTTTGCAAGACCAAGAGTCGCCTTGGTCTCGCATTTGGGCAATACTACTAAAGGGAGTCACCCAACCTCATGTTGCTCTGAACCATGGTCTCCATGGTGAAGCGACAGGCCACCCGTAGCTCCTTAGCCGATCCTTTTGGGGCCAATCTGGCAGTATCCTTTCCACCAACTCACTCGGGTTCAAGAACAGTGACAAATCGGTCTAGATTCATGGATTATGGCTGCTCAGAGCCAGTAGGCGCACGATGACCTATATTTCTTTCTTCGAAACAGACCGTCCATGGACCGAGCCTCATGGGGGCTACCATCATCCTAGTAAACCACATCCCGATTCCCGATTCAAGAACACGGGGCAGGATCATCAGTCCTACGCCCGGTCGTTGTGAGTTGCCTCCATTACGCTGAAGGGCCTCACTTACCCGGAGGGGAGGGTGGCTTTCCCTGATGGACTGTAACCCGAAATACTAACTCTACGTTGCTTAGCTTTGATTACCCATTGCAAGCCTTAGCCCATACGGATACCCCGGCATATTTTATATAAATATATATTTATACACGCAGTTGAATAAGATATTGGTTTTATTTAAAACTGAATAGAATAGAATAAACTGAACGTCCATTAAAATCTCGTTTTATAAATCTGAATAAGTTAATATTAAACGTTAATTAATAACTAAATTAATATTAAATTTAAAATGAAAATTGATGAAATTGATTCAAGATCATCCAGATACTAACTTGTAAAATCCCTTAAACTTTCATAGAAATCAGATCAATTGTAGTAGGTGATATGCTCGTCACTTGGATTTAATGACAGAAGAAACGGAACCATATTTGTTCCTTAATGTCGAAACGTAAATCGCGAGGCGCTTTTTTCAAAGTTAAGCACACAAATTCTTTGGAATTATTCATGAATACAAAAATTTTCTCTTCCTTTGGTACTGAGGAAGTAATAAACCTGTGAAGTGTTATGAGCAATGAACACATGGAGTGCGAGTTCCAACATGATTTTAAATTAGTTTTCGTTTTGTTGATGAATGTATTTGAAAGGCATAACATAAGGCTAATTCGTATGATGAAATTTCCAGGGATCGTGATTTTTATTCAGATTAAACTTTTAAAATGGAATATTGTTTTTAAGTGGGTTACCTCCGAGGTGGAATTAGATTACCTGGTGGGGATGGAACGAGTAAATTACCTGGGATCGATACAAAACAATATTCACTTCCATACGCGATGATAGGGTCCGGACCAGAAATGAATAAAACAACAGCAGTTGATGGAAGCCGTTAATGGAAAATGGAAGCGGTGGGGAGCGGAAAATGGAGCAATTTGTAAAATAAATACGCTCGGCTAGCTCACAGCTTATCCTGGCTTAGGAAATTTTCAATTTTATATATTAAGGTGGCAGCGGAGAAGAAATTGCTAAGACCTAAGGGGTTGTACACCAGGAATTGATGAGGTGGCTCAATCATCAGCAATATGTGATAAACTATGATACTTTCATTGTCAGTAATAATAAGTTAATAATATAAAAACTAAACATTATGAAAGTAACGATATGTTAAAACACTTGAGTATGGATTTATTTAACTAAATGTATTTCTTCGGTAATGAAGCTCATATATAATCTCACCGAAAAGGTATTTTTCAAAATGGTATCGATATTAAGGGTGGAAATTTGTGTAAAGATTTATTTCAACTTTTCGAATTTATTTTATAAAAGTTCTATTTGTATAAATTATTGCGAAAGTTGTTTTATAAAAGTTCCAAATATAACACAGAAAAATTAGTTAGTAAGTTTTCACATACATATGGAATAAAAATATGCGTTAACTTACCAAGAACGTAAACGAATACCAATTACCAGTGTAGTTTTAATCATATCGATTTTAAAATACCGTCCTCGCTTATCGATTAATTTTAAGTATTTATTCTATATTGTCGAAGAATGGTGTCAAAATTGGAGGATTAAAATAAATCCCGTCAAATCATCTTTACCCTTCGTCGTAAACCTATGACTTCCTGTCCGACAGTATCCTTTAATAATACCCCGCTTATCCCTGTTGAACAAATCCGGTACCTTGGACTCCACTTGGACAAACGTCTAACTTGGAATCCTCATACCAGACTTAAACGACAAGAAACCGCTCGACGTTTCCGACTACTACAGCACTTACTAGACAAACGCTCTAAGCTTCCAGTTAATTACAAAAGACTCATACATGGCTACAATAAGACCTATCTGGACATACGGAGTTGAGATTTGGGATTCCACAAAGCCATCTAATTCCTCACTCATCCAATTCTTACAATCCAAAATCCTTCGT